TATAGGGCTTGTCACTGAGATGGGGTGGCCAATCCAAACAGCAGCACTCACCCATTCCTGTAAATTTTTTGTTTGCCTCCTTCTCCAGGCAATTTTGCAACTGTTGTTCTTCTGTGATAAGGATTTCCAGTAAAGAGCAGTTGACAGAATTCAATAAAACCAACAAAAGCTCCTGATAAGAATTGTCCTGCAGGATGTTGCTACTAAGGGGATTGATGCTAAGCCCTGTAAGGACATCAGTCCCCTGGGCAGTGCCAGAAATCTGTTACAGACCCTCCAGGTCTGTCTGCCTTCACTTGGTGCATCGCCTGAGGGTGAACAGTCACAGTGGATCTGGGTTTCTACACACACTGGGCAGCAAAGGGGCCCCATCCCCAGCCCTGACCCCCCTGCCAGTGCCGTCCTCCAGCACTGAGCCTGCCCACGGGGCAGCCACGTGTGTGAAGGTCCTGCAGGCTCCTCGGGGGTGAAGCCAAGAGTCTGCTGGAGGGTTGGGCTCTGACCTCTCAGCTCTGGGGGAGGTCTCAGTGCCAGCACACCCTGTCACCTGTGCCAGTGCCCTTCCCGGCAGGCAGGTCCAGGTTGTTGACCTCAGCCTTGTCCTCTGCTGATAGAGGGCATGAGACATCTGTGCCCACAACTCAGCTCTGGGATTGGTGTCTGGGCAGTTCTGCTGTCACAGCCCTGTCTGTCCTGGCATGCCAGGAGCCAAGGACTGTTGGCAAACCACTTCCCATAGGTATTACTGTCTTTGCTGTACAGTATTCCCGTTCACCCTCTTGCTCTTTTTGTTTGCCTTCCCCCCCTCCTTCAGCTCCTTTATTGACCTGCAGCAGCTGGTAAATCTCCAGAAAAATTTACCATTGCAGATGAAAAACGCCCTGGGCCATTTGGATTCCTTTATTTTTCCTCAAAAATAATATATTAAGGCCACTTTGAGTAATCTTGAGCAAAGAGAAGGCACCAGCTGGGCACACAGTGATCAGTGCTGTGAGCTGAGGGGCTCACACGGAGGAGGTGAGTGTAGGGACAGACCCAGGAGTGAAGGGACAGGAGCCAGCAC